AATGGCTACACCAGCGTTTGTTGCACACAGGGCAAAAGACAATGTGGGCTGTAGCCCATTGGTGCCATTTGACCTTTGAAGAAGTCAGCAGAGCCCAGAAGGAGTGCCTTGTGTGTTCTAAGAGGGCCTTACATCGAGTTCCAAAGCAACATGGGACAACAGTAAGGGGGCCAATACCCCCTGTCAGGTGGCAAATAGACTATATTGGGCCTCTGCCCGAATCAGAAGGATATCGGTGTGCCGTGACTTGTGTGGACACAGCTACTGGACTATTGGTTGCTTTTCCTGCACGTTGTGCCGATCAGCAAACCACCGAGAGGGGCCTGGAGCATCTCTGCAGCCTATGGCCGCCCGCAGGTGACTGAGAGCAATCAAGGCACCCACTTTACTGGACAAGCATTACAAGGATGGGTGCAGCAATTAGGAATAAAGTGGAAATTTCATGTACCATATAACCCTACCGGGACAGGCATGATAGACAGGTACAATGGTTCGTTGAAATCTGGCCTGTCGCCTGTGGACAGCGCTGCAGCGTTTGGACGAGAAGCCCCGTGGAGGAGCTCTGAGCCCTGTGGGTGTGCTCACACGCCTTGCTGCCTCTCCCGTACAACTGTACGTGCAAACCAAGGAGTTATTGAAGCCCGGACGTGGCCAGCAGAGCAACACCCTGCTGCAGTCCCTACTGCATTAAGCCCTGGAGATACTATTGAATTGACCTGGCCCTGGACATTTTGACACATGGACCAGCGATGGTTGGCCCTTCTGGCACCTTGAGGGGGAGGCCCGGAAGCTGGCCTCATGTGTATTCCTGGAGTGGAATACAGCTGAATGGCCCCCAAAGGTCACGGTAGTGTACCCAAAATGTCCGGGAGGTAAGAGCATCTTATGGGGAAGTTTCATTTTATCTTTATGTCCAGTGACTGTACCTCCCATAGTCCTATATATGGACTCATCTGTCACTCCCACAGGGAGGGAGGTGAATATCTGGTGCACTAGACCGGGACGAGGTCCCATTCCTGCCACTGTTTTATCACAAGACCAGTCACTTGCATGTATCCACCTGATGGACAAGATTTGCCTATGCTGGTGTCATTAAACATGCATCTTATCGCCCTTAAGGCTATTTTCTCCTACAGTCCTTGTGGCCTGAATGCGCCCCCTGGCGGCAGCTGCCGCATGGTGACTGCTCTGAACCCTCGGCTACTGCCTGCCTACGGAATGGACGAGCTACGGACTTGATCTGTGTAAGACTTTGAACCTCGCTGAATCCTCCGACTTGAGGATTGTCATAATTTTATTGCATTTGCTATTGTTATGTCATTAGTCTGGTCACAATGCTCCAGTTTTCTCGCCCAGGGACCACTGGGGAAGAAGGGGAACAAGTAGATTGTAAGGCGAGATTTCTGGAGGGGTGGCCTGTGGGTAAAATTGTAACATTTCCAGGACACCTCGCCTGGCTTTAGTGCATCTGCATATCCTCAGGGGTGGAGAGAAGGTCATCTCCCTGTCAATGGGTAATTACCTGGGCAACCAGGGGTGTGTCTGAACCTGAGAGTTTTAAGGGAGGGGCTGGCTGGCTTCTTCAGGAGCAGAGGAGATGGCCCTGTACTGCAGTTTTAAGTAATACACATGTTTTAAACTTTATTTCTCCCTTTGACTGATTTCGGTTTTCAGAGATATTTTGCCCGGGATTTCCTCTCCCCAGACTTACATGGCTAATACCCAAAACCATCAAACTCGTAGAAGAGAAGATAGGGGGAAAAGCTTCATGACATTGGATTTGGTAATTATTTCTTAGATACAACACCAAAAGCACAGAAAACAAAAGCAAGAATAGGCAAATGGGTCTACATTAAACTTGACTGTTGTTCATGGAAGGACACAATCAACCAAGTAAAAAGATAACACAGGAAATGGGAGAAAATGTTTGTAAATCGTGTATCTGATAAAGATTGGTATGCACAATACATAATTCATACAAGTCACCAATAAAATATCAAATGGCCAAAAAGCGCATGAAAAGATGTTCAACATGAGTAATCATCAGAGAAATGCAAATCAAAGTCACAATGGGACGTCACCTCATACCCGTTAGGATGGCTACTATCAAAAAACCCAGAGAACAAGTATTGGTGGGGATGTGGAGAAGCTGGAACCCTCACGCACTGTTGGTGCGAATGTAAACGGGGCAGCTGCTGTGGAAACGTGTGGCAGTTGCTTAAAAAATTAAAAATAGAATTAACATAACGATCCAGCAACTCCACTACTGGGTGTACACCCGTTAGAACTGGAAATGGGGTTACAGCGGGCTGTGTGCCCACACATGCTCACCACAGCAGCCAAGGTGGAGCGACCCGAGTGTCCCCCAGCAGATGAAGTGATAGACCAAACATGCACAGAGGCACGATGGAGTATCTATCATTCGGTCTGAGGGGAAAATCCTGTCACACGCTGACAGATGATGAGCCGCAGGGACACTATGCTAAATGAAAACGGCCAGTCACACAGGGGCAAATGGTGTATGACTTCACTTACATGAAGTATTTAAAGTTATCCGATCCCCGGTGACAGAAGCAGAAGGGTGGACACAGGGAGCGGGGGAAGGGCTGGGGAGGGGGTGGGTACCTGGTTAATGGGCCTGGGGTTTCAATTCAGATGTTTTCACAACAATGTAAAATATACTTGACATCACTGAACTGTATACTTAAAAACGGTTAAGATGGTAATGATCTGTGTGTTTTACAACAATGAAAACAAAGCCAGCTATCAGTTCACAAAAAGATCCAGAGGGCCCATAACGCATGCCACCGAGTGAAGGCAGCTGACGGGGACACGCCACACACCGTGAGCGGTTCCAGCTGCAGTACAAGACGTTCGGGAAAAGACAAACCCCACGGAGACAGTGAACGGACCAGTGGTTACCAGTAGGTTGGGGAAAGGGAGGGAGGGATGAACAGAGGAAGCACGAGGCCCTTTAGGGGGGTGAAGCCGTGCTATACGATGCTGGAGTGGTGGGCACGTGGCACCACACATCTGTCAAAACCCTCAGAATGCACAGCATCAAGAGTGATCCCTGATGCAAACTCCGGGCTTTGGTTAACACAGCTGTGTGGTCTAAGGGTGGCAAATGCACCACACCAGTGCAAGAGTCGGGGGGGGGGACACAGGAACTCCATGTTCCTGCCTGGCCCCTGCCTTGGTGCTTGGGATGCAGGGATAGCAAACAGCCCGCACCCACGTGCTGGGTCTGAGTGTGGTCACAGGTGACTCTAGAGAGAACCTGGACCTGAGCCAAACCCTGAAGGACAAGGGGAGCTTGCGCTGGGAGGGAAAGGCACCTGAGGGAGGTGGAACGCGAGCAAAGGCGGAGACGGCAGCTTGCTGGCACGCAACGTGGAGGGTAAGACAGGGCCAAGTAAGGAGAGCGGGCGGCAGGAACAGGGCAGGCGGTGGGCAAGCGCAGGGCAGGATGAGGGAGGGGGCCAGTCTAGAGGAGGCTCAAAAGCCAGGCTCCCTCCCACACCACGCGTGGCTCCAGGGCGTGCCACTCCTAGCAATGCCTTCCTGGCTACAGCTCACTGAGCACCTGCTATGTGCCTGGTGGTCACCAGGCCCGGTTCAGCGACTAGCCCTGCAGCCCTGTTCCACTCCACAGCCTCAGAGTTAGGACCCAGGACAGAGACAGGCAGAAGAGTGAGAGACACAGAGAAGATAGAGAGAAAGACAGAGAGACAAAGAAAGGGAAGCAAGAGAGAGGGACAGCGACAGAGGAGGGGCAGAAAGACAGAAACAGAGGGGATGGACAGAGACAAAGACAGGACACAGAGAGACAGAGAAAAGACAACAAAGGACAGCGAGAAAACAACTAGAGACTGAGGAGAGACAGGCCAGCAAGAGACAGAAGGAGGACAGGGAGAGACAGTGAGACGGCGGATCTCCATAGATGACAGGCGAGAGAAACTGCCTCCTGGCTGCAAGGGCCCCTCCCACCTGGGCAACAGAGCCTCTGAGCCGAGCCACATGGTCTGGGTCAGGATGCCAAACCCACTCTCATGTGCTTTGTGACCAGGACAAGCCCGAGCCCCGCGTAGCACAAGAGCAACGGCAGCGCTCTCAGAGCCACTGTGCTTGGCACACGAGCACTCCCTAAAGGCAGCTGGACCATCGAGGGCAGGGGTGAGATGCTGGGTTCAGATAGGGCTGAGCCTGGGCACGGATTCTGCCTGGCGCTGCTGGTGCCTGCGAGGGGGGCATGGTGGGCCATGAACACACGTCCTGGCTGGGCTCACAGGCACAGCCAGCCATGCGGAGTGGGAGCCAACCGTGAGGCCGGCACGCCCCCTGGCGGCTGGCTGCTTCTCCCCTCTGCTGGGGGAGCAGTAGGAACCGAGCCAGCCTTGCGGGGGAATCAGGGCTCCAGGGAGGCTGAGTTGCTCCAAGGTAGGACAGGAGTTAGAACTGAGCACAGCCAAGATGGGGCCTGGCTTTCCCTGCCAAGGGAGAGAGGGTGTGGAGAGGGGGAAGGCATGGGACCGGGGGACATCAGCCAGCATCGCAAGGCCTCCTGTCTGTATGTGGGGGCCAAAAAAGTACCCTGCGTATGGACGCTGCTCAACATGAGCCTCACAGAAAGGAAGGCAGTTTTGACAAAGCAGACAGGCTGACAGGAGAGACTGGCTGAGGGTGTGACAGCTGAGTGGCACAAAACAAGGCCCAGTAGGGTCGGCGTGGGGCTTTGCTTGGGCCCCGGCTTGATAGAGACCCCAGGTCCTGGTACCAAGGTGGGGAGGGGGCTCCCAGATGCAGGTGTAGCCAGAAGGTGTGAGGGCAGCTGGGGTGGGGAGGGGGCTCTTGAAGGTTCATCCTGACCTCAGTGCCCTTCTGCCAAGCCCCCGAGGTAGAGCCTAGGACATGTGCTCCATGACACGATGGCCCAGCACAGAGCCAGGCACACCTCAGGCCCCCTGCAGGCACTTGAGTCTCACTGTCCACCTGCTTACCTTGCACATTGTGCCCACCAAGGCTCCATCCCGGCTCCAGACAGCACCCTGCACCAGGTCCCCATGGGCCACCAGCTCTGCAGAGAAGCAGCCAAGGTCAGGAAGGGATCCAGGGTCCTCCCACCCATCCTGGGGGACAAGGGTACCGGAGAAGCGGATGCAGGAGGGCTTGGCAACTTCCCAGGGCAGAGGCAGCAGCTGCAAGAGCCCTCCTGGGCGGGAGGAGCAAGGGTGGCAGCTCCTTCCAGACGCGCTGCCCCGAGCCCAGGTTCTTCCTCCAGCCCCCCGTCAGGCCACGCTCCTACTCAGACTCCTTCGAAGGCCCTCTGCTCCGACGCCCCTCGCTCTAAGGTCTGGCTCTCATTTCCTGCCCAGGCTTGTTCCTGGCCCCTCACCACCACACCCTTCACTGGGTCATGCCAGCCCACAGACGTGCCACACACGCTCCCACCCTGGCCCTCTGCTCAGGCCAACCCTGCTCCTCCCTGCAGCGTGGCAATATCCAAATATGTCCACAGTTCTTTGACACTTCTCCAGTTAATAGTTAAATCACGTCCCCTAAAAAGATGTTCATGTCCTAACCCTCAGCCACCATGGTGTAACATAACTTTTTTTGCAAATAGGGTCTCTGTCAAAGATCAAGTTAAGCTGTTATCATTAGTATCCCCATAAAAGCAGAAACTGGACAGAGACAGACACATGCAGAGGGAGGGCAACGTGAAGACCACCTACAAGCAGAGCGCTTGAAGCTACGGAAGCTAGAAGCGAGGAAGAGAACTGAATTCTCCCTCACAGCCTCAGAAGGACTCAGCCCTGCTGTCACCTTCATTCTGGACTTCTGGCCTCTAGACTGTTTGTTATTTTAATCCACCTGGCTTGTGGCACTTAATCACAGCAGCCTTAGAAAACTGACACACCCTCCCGTCATATTGTGGAGCCTAATTCCCTTCCTCTTGAGTGTGAGCAGCTTAGTAACTCACTTCTAACAAAGAGAATCTGGTGAAAGAGACATCATCCCGTTCCAAAGCTGGGTCACCAAAGGCACTGTGGCCTCCTCACAACATCCTGTCTGATTCACCAGGAGAGGCCGGCCGCCATGCAGCGAGGGCACCCAGTCAGGCCCTGGAGGTCCCCACGGCGGGATCGCAGGCTCTCTGCCCTCAGCCAGCACCAGGCCAACAAACCATCTGGGAAGCAGATCCTCTGGCCCCAATTAAGCTTTCAGATGATGGTGGCCCCAGCCAACATCTCAACTGCAACCTCACCAGAGACCCTGAGCCAGAACCACCCAGCTAAGCTGCTCCCAAATTCCCGACCCTCAGAAACTAGGAGATAAGTGTTTATAGTTGGGTTAAGCCTCTATGTTTTGGGGCAATTTGTCCTCCAGCAGTAGACAACCACTACACCAGGGTTGACACCTTGCTCTGCCATGGACTTGCACCTCATCTGTAACATGGGAACAGAACACGCCCCAGTGAACTGCTCTGGTGAGGAGCTGTGAAGCCAGACACCTAAGAAGGGCTTGAGATGGCAGTTACGGCAGGGTGACTCCCCGATGACACAGCATCTGGTGACCTTCACCTCTGCTTCAAGGGCAGGCTGGTCTCTCTGATCGCACCAGGAACTCTGGGGCAAGTTATGCGACTGAGGACCCTTGGTTGACAGGGCACAGACCCCTTGGTCCCAGCCCCAGAGGTGGGGACACTGCTCAGCCCTGTGGGGAAAGGCCATCCCTCAACCCTCTGGGCCCCGTGTCTTTACCCGAGAAGGGGTCTGAACAAGTCAGGGAGGGTGCCGCAGAAGAACACCAGGGGCCAGTGTGGGCCTTGGGATGGGTCATAGCCCCTCACTGAGGAATCTGACCCAAAGCTGTCATCATCTGTGCGTGGGCTGAATGTCTGTGACCCCCAAAATCTGTATGTGGAAGCCTAACTTCTTCTGCGATAGTATTTGGAGGCAGGGCCTTTGCAAGGTAATTAGGTCATGAGTGGGCTGACTTCCCTTATAAAAGAGACCCCAGAAAGCAACCTGTTCCCTCCTGCCATGTGAGAAGACGGCTGCCTAGGAACCAGGAATAAGACAGGACATCTGCCGGCACCTTGGGTTGGACATCCAGCCTCCAAAACTATGAGAAATAACTGTGTACTGTCTAAGCCACCCAGTCAATGATATTTTGTTAGAGCAGACTCACTTAGGACCAGCTAAGACATTCTGCACTGGGAAAACGAGAAGCATGGGGGTTGGGGCGCCCGTAGGAGTGAACTCACAGGGAAGAGGTCAGCTTCTATTTTCAAAACCAAAATGACGTATGGTTCAAGAATTAATAGGTAAGGATAAGGAAGTTACTTAAACATATGCAGGAAAAAGCAGGGAAAGCAGCTAAGCAAGGTGAAAATAGATGCCTATGGGAAGTGGGGAGGTATGGGGCGTTTGTTTATAAGCCTGGTAGAATCTCGTGACCTTTCCACTACATGTGAAACTGATACGTATTTCAAAATTCACATCACCAAAAACACAAACAAGCAGTGTATGCAGAGCGTGACCCGTACCCGTGAGGGGCTGCTGCTGGGTGGCGTCCCAGACCTTCAGGGCCCTGCCTGCCACGCTCAGCAGGACGCCATCAGCGGTTGGGTGGAACTGCAGCACCTCAACCTGAAGGTCCTCCGGGCCCAGCACCAGCCCAGGCCCCGAGGGCAGTGCCTGGCCGGGGGCTGGCAGCCGCCACAGCTTCACCTGTGGGGAGGAGCAAGTCTGTGAGCCCAGGGCTTGGAGGGGCCCTGCCCAGGCTGCCCCCCACCCAGCAGTCTTATCTGGGCCCAAGGACCGTGGATCCTGTGTCGGGGGAGGGCAGGGAACCGGCTCCAGATCACAGGGTGTGGTTAGAGGCTGGGGGAGGCAGGGGCTCTGCTCCATCTCCCTGGCATCTCCCACACACCCAGCCCTGCTCTCTACAGGCAGCCAAGCAGGACAGCAGGTCATGGCTGCGACCACGGCTCCCCAGCAAGTGTGCGGTATGACACAGCGCTGCACGGGTTGAAGAACCGGAACGTCTGGGCTGGCTGGCCCAGAAGCCTACAGAGGGGCCGAAGGCCCTGGGTGGGCAGGGGGTGGCACTGAGCAGCAATTCCAGCAGCTCCACTCACCATCCTGTCAGCCGAGCCTGTCGCCAGGAGGAAGTCGTCAAAGGGAGAGAAGTCCAAGTCCGTGACCAGGTCTGCGGGAAAGCAACTGGCTGACACGGGCCCAACAAGAACCGGCTAGAATGTCATTTTCAGCCTAACATGGGGTCCCCTGAGACAGGAACCACAGCCCAGGGCTTCAGAGGTGTCACCTCTGCCCACAGGGTGATGGCATTTCTGCAAATGATGGGCAAACACCACAGGCCCCACGTGCAGCATGTGTTCTGAGCCCTGCAGACCTAGGGTGGACAAGGGCCCTGGCATTAGGAAGTCAGCAGAATGAGGGGCACAAAGCTCCTCAGATTACCAGGTGCCTGCACTCACCCAAAATCCAGAGCCCAGGGCAGGACGTGGCACTTGAATGTGTGAACAAATGCAAATGCTGGCCCCCTGCTCCAGCCCCCGAGGCAGTCACAAATGGAACAGATGCCACCCGGGCTCAGCGGACCCTCAGCACCTCCATGGGAGAGACACATGTCTCTGCAGACGTTAAGACGTAGGCTGGGCTTGCAAGGGGCACCGCAAGGTCAGGGTCAGGGCAGGCTTTGTAGAGGGGGCCATGGTGGGTCCTGGAGGATGTGAAGGGCTACAACAGGTTAGGATGGCAGAGAGGCAGGGGCCTGGATGAACACACCCAACCCAGGAGTTCTCTGCCCCTCGACTCCCGCCAGCCAGGGCTGACTAATCAGCGGGAGAGCATCGGACCCAAGTCCAAGCCGCCAGCTTCTCTCTTACGGGAATTAAACCAGGAATGGGATGGCCTAGCAATAGGGCAACTTAGGGACTGGCCTGGCTCAGGGGCACCAGCTGGCAGGGACCCTCTGAGGCCTGCGTGTCCACCTGCTCCTTTGGTTCTGAAAGCTCTCCAGGAGTCTCCCAATAAATCACTGTCCCTACTGCCCTGGGCCAAGAGCAGAAGGTGTCCCTGAAGGTTGGGCGCCCAAAGGCAGGGCAGCAGCCAGGGCCCAGCCCCCCAGTAACGGGCTCACTGCTCCCCCATGAGTAGACTGCATCATTGAGAAGAGAACAGCACCTAAGAACTCGGCTCAGACAGATGTGGGTTCTGACTCCAGCTCTGTCAGCAGCAGTGCCAACATCAGTAGGTTCCCGGTCTCTGAGCCTCAGTTTTCTTAGCTGGAAAATGGGTTATTTTAAAACCTACTTCAAAAGGTGGGACAGGAGATGAGAGAACCAACTTCTTGTACCTATTAAAACACAGATGTATTTCAAAACATTACGCTAAGTGAAAGAAGCCAGATTCAAGACTACATGTGGTCTAATTCCAGTTATGTGAAATGTCCAGAAAGGGCCAGAGAGAAGCCAGCAAATGTTTTCTGTAAAGGATTAGGTAGTAAATATTTTAGGGTTTGAGAGCCATATGGGCTCTGTCATAACTACTCCACTCTGCAGATGTTGGGAGAAAGTAGCGATAGACTGAATGTCAACGAAGAGGTGTGACTGTGTCCCAACAAAACTATTTTCAGACAGGCAGCAGACCAGAATCAGCTGGACAGTAGTTTGCTGCAGAGACAGAAAGTAGATCAATGGGTGCCTGAGGCTGTAGTGCCTGGAAGGAAATGGATTCACTGCAGAGGGGCCCAAGGGATCTTTGGGGGAAATGTTCTATAACTCGGTGGTGGTATATACAACTCTGTAACTTTAATAAGAAACATCAAATCCCTCACTTAAAGTAGGTAATGGTAATGGCACATAAAGGACACCTCAATAAAGTTGTAAAAAGCTTTAGAAAAGAATTAAAGGGAAAAACACAGACAGCATTCTTAGCACACAGAGAGCTCTTGATTGATCTGCTCTCCTGTTATTCTATTAACCACTACATCGTCATCTGGATCCTACACTAAACTGCACGCGTGGACTAGGGACCAAGGATCAGCCCCCTTCCCTCACCCAAGGCTGCCCCACAGGGGGCCAGGAACACAAGCCAGAGTGGTGGCCCACAGCCACCACAACTGGACAAGAGAGGAGACAGCTAGGCTGGGGCCGCCACAGCCCAAGGAGGGCAAACTGTTCCCTTACTGCAGGCAGGATGCCAGGCGGGCTGCTGGGCATCCCCAGAAGCAGCTGCAGCAGACAAAAGCTCTTTGTGAGGGCCCATCTCTGGCCCTGCAGCCCAGCCAGCCACCCGCCACCCCCAGCCTTGGAGGGCCCTGTGCAGCCTGGCTGGGAGGATGCCTGGTGGTAACGAGTGGCCTGCTGGGCTCTGGGAGAGGACGCAGTTGAGACTTCTGCAGTGACCGACCGCTGCACATCCTCCTCCTCTTGGTTTGACGCCAGCGAACACCAAGCCTCCCTCCCCTCTGCCCAAGTCGAATCCTCAACGAGGACCCAACCCAGCCTTCCAATCTGGACTCCATCTGTCAGAATGCACAGTGACTGTGACAGGAGGGACCTGGCAAGCAATGGAGCTGTGGGACCAGATGAGTATGAATGCCCAGGTAAGTATGGCCCCTGGGGAGGGGCCAAATTGCACACTTCTTGGGTCCAGCTTCCACTCACCTGAATGGCAGCCTAGGTGGGTCACGAGTCTCTTGTCCTCTCCCTGGCCTTCCAGAGGCACAATGCCCAACGCACCTGTCAATCAAACACAGGGGCTCTAACTTCAGGCCTAATGGGGACTATCTACTGCCCAGGGCTCCCAGAGGACACAAGACCCAAGAGCTCAACCTTGGACTTCCCAGAACCTTCACCAATCTTTACACCTCTCTGGACATAGTGACTGGCCCCAGATTAGGTCCTTGGTAACATAAGATGTACAGAAGACTGGGAAAGAGGTTGTCTCTTTTTGGCATGTAGATCATAAAAAATCAGCTTGGGAAAAACAGAAGGGACAAAATAGCAATAGACTCATAGACACCAAGAAGGGACTAGCGGTTACCAAAGGGGAGGGGTGGGGGAGGGCGGGTGGGGAGGGAGAAGGGGATTGAGGGGCATTATGATTGGCACACATAGTGTGGGGGATCACAGGGAAAACAGTGTAGCACAGAGATGGCAAATAGTGAATCTGTGGCATCTTACTACACTGATGGACAGTGACTGCAATGGGGTGTGGCTGGGGACTTGATAATATGCATAAATGTAGTAACCACATTGTTTATTCATGTGAAACCTTCATAAGAGTGTATATCAATAATACCTTAATAAAAAAAAGTAAAAAGATTGTATATCAATGATACTTCAATAAAAAAGAAAAAAAAATCAGCATGGGACCACCAGCTGCCACTTTTCCCAGCTTTACCTGAGAAAGAAACCATCACCCGAGGGCAGCAGAGCTAAGAGACAGGAGAGAGGCTGGGGCCGATGGCATGTGTGGAGATTCTGGTTTCGGCCCTGCCTGAAACCCCTGGACTTCTTAGTTATATGAGCTAAAATGATATCCAATTTTTGCTTACGTCCATTTGAGGTCTGAGTTATCACTAGCAACCAAGAGTCCAACTAACACAAGGATCCATTGACCCCAGCCACGCCTAGGGCCCCAGAAGAGGAGTGAGTAGCATGTGGGGATAGCAGGAAACAAAAGGGACAGTTCCCTCTCTGTCCTCCTGGCCACACTCTGGAAGACCACAGCCAACGTGGATTTATACAAAGTATGAAGGCACAAACACCCCAATCAAAATCAATCTGATTACACCCGTTGACCATTTGTAGTGTCTAAGGCCCTGTGTGGTGTTGACCTCTGCACCCCATGAAACCCATCCAGGTCTCCAGCCTACAGTGACCTGCCCTTCTGCCCCACCCAAATTAGGGTGACAATGTCCAAATCTCCACACCCTGTCTACCTCCCTACCTGGATGGTTGGTGTTAAACGCGATCAAGCGGCAGCTAGATTTGATAAGATTTCCACATGAGGGGGAAGTTCCTGCTCGAATGTCACTGATCCAGGCCTGAAAATAAAGAGCAAAAAATATGATGACCAGGGCTCTGCTAGTGCCTGAAGCAGTGGGTGGGGCATAACCCAGGGAACTCTACCTTAAAGCTGCACCTTTAGAGATGAATTCATTTGGAGCAAACCCTTCCCCATTCACACAGTCCTTTAAAAAGGAACCTAAAAATGTTCTTGGATTCATAACCTAAATTCATAAAGAGGAAGGATTTGCTTATTAAATCAGTTGTATAATAAGGGAAGAGAGAAGATCAGCAGAAGCTCAGGTTGAAGACAGAAAGTCAACAAGTCAACTGGGTAGTGCATGTGGTAGTGGGTGTTTCTGTCAAAACAGAAACCAAGAAAGGAGAAGTGGGCACTTGCGGCAGAAGACAGACTCCACTTCCTCAACTGCATTAATGAAGGCCTCCGCCAGGCACAGGGGCTACTCCAAGTCCCAGGAGAAAACACCCAAGCTCAGGAAGGGGAAAAACCAAAGCCTTTGCACTAAGTCCTACAGATGGGTGAACTACACACCCCCCTGAAAAGCAAACAATGTTAACAGCCCCCTACACGGAGAGGCAGAGGGGCACTTCTGAAACTAAGACCAGCAAGTTCCAAATGTTTTCTCTGTTAGTGTCAAAGCACCATGCACCAGCACTCCCCCCTGCCACCCGACCATGCAGCACCCACCCACAGCATCCCAGAAGCCACCTCCACCACCAAGGTTTCTATTTTAATGTTCAACTGCCCTGGGTCCACCATTATCATCTTGCATTATTTTTCCCTCCTGATTCATGTTTACTGTAAAAATACAGTGACAGGAAATATCTTTGAAAAGGAGAATCAGTCACCAGTTTGCACATCTCCCTAACATAAACTGTTTTAAGCTGTCCCTGTAATCCCTAGGTCCATGCCTGTCCACCTTGTTGGACTAAGGTCCATCTGGGAACAAGCCCCAGGCCCCTCAAGCACACTCCAGACCGCTCCAAGTAGTATTTACTGCACTTGGGAGAGATGCTATCAATGCAAATCTTAGTATCTCTGCACATCCTGCCCCTTTTAACCTTTCAGTGACTCCCCTCTACACTTAGAAGACAACCTAACTTTTTTGTGTAGCCCTAAGGCTTTGCAAGACTGCTCTGGACTCACCTGAAACTCTGCTTCACCGCCACTGCCCTCCATCCACCCTGGCCCACTTTCCATTCCTCCACAGGCTCTTTCCCACCCCATTCTTCCTGTACCTGGCTGCTTCTCACCCTTCCGGCCTTAATTGTCACCTCTTCCGAGCAGCCTTCCCTGACCACCCTTTGAGATTAACCTCCACCGTGCCATCCACCTCCACCTCCACCTCCATCCCAAGCTCTCAGGTTCGGGTATGTTCTTCAGTACAATTATTAAAACACACAATGCCCGCTCGGGCCTGGCTGCTTGCTGGCTGTCTCCCTCATGAGAGTATGGCAGCACAGAGGGCAAGAGCCGTCCTGTTCACCGCTGGAGCTCCAGTAGCAGGGCACAGCACATGGGAGGTACCGAGGTACTGTAAAGAGGGTGAAAAGGCAACTTCTGCCCCTGCCCTGCTGCGTTAAAGGTCAGTTCCTAGGCCCGATTATTGGAGGACACTCTCAGGCCTTGCACAGAATACCTGCAGCCGCAGACCAGGGCTTGCATCACTCACATACACCCCCATCAGGCCGGCTGCCCTTCCGGGGCCCCAAGGCGCTCCCCAGCATCTGGCCCAGCTACCCCTCAGGGCCCCACCAGCACGGTTTCCCCAGGCCCCACCCAGCCCCTGACAGCATCACCCCCGATGAGGAGAAGAGCTTGATTAAGAGAAGAGCTTGCACCAGCCCCGAGAAGAGGAAGCGCCAGCGGAACCGCGAGGAAGGGGCGCGCCTCTGGCTGAGGGGCTCCCCTCTCCCGCAGGCACGCCCGGACTCTTCAGGCCAGGGCACAGAGGCGCATCTCTCCCACACCCCAGCCCCGGGCAGCGGCGAGCAGGGCGGCGGGGAGGGGCAGCCGGCGCCAGCAGCGTCCCGGCCACGGCTCCCCAGCGAGGCCGACCGGAAGCCGGGAAGGCAGGCAGCCTCGCAGGCCTCAGGGTTCGGCCCCAGCCGGGCCGGCTGCGCCACCTCGGGGATCCCGGGGTGAGGCGGGCGGACCCCGGGGCTCACCGAGCAGCCCGTGTCCAGGGAGCGCCAGGCTCTGCCTGCTAGGCCACGACATGGTGGTCCGGACGCCGGGCCTGTACGGGGCGCCCCGGGGCAGGCGGGCTCGAGGGTCCCCACGCGGGCCCTGTTGGGGGGAAGGGCGGTGGCGCGGGGCCCGCTGGCCGGGCTCACCTCGCGGCGGGGCAGCCGGGCCTCCGTGTGCCGGAACTTGGACACCTTGAAGCGGCTCATGGCGACGGGGACCGGGGCGAGCGCAGCTTCGAGGACTCGGGCGTCAGCTCTCAGGTGCACGGCCAGCAGCCGGGACTCCCACCGCCTCCTGCCCCACCCGCGGCCCACCGCCTGCCGCCCGCGGCCACGCCCCAACCCGCCCCAGCCAATCGGAGCCCTCTCCGGCCCGCAGGGCCTCGCCTGGGGTCCTGTCCCCGGGCGCGCGCTCCTATGGCCCCACCCCCTAGCCAATCGCCGCTGGGGCGCCCCGAGAGGCCACTCCCGGATGCCGACGGGCCAGCTGCGCGGGCATGGAGGTCACGTGCGGTCCGCTGTCCACCCCCAGCCCTGCCGAGCGTCCGCGAGGACTACGGACAAAGTCGCGGTGTTTTGTTGGGGACTTGCCCTGGAGGCTTTCCGGTATGCGGGGCGCGCTTTCCCCGGGGAGGACTAGGGCAGAAGTGAACTGGCTCCATTCGGAGGTGGGGTGCGCTCCCTCGCAGGAAGAGCCGCTGGCCGAGTCACACAGTGGCAGCGGGGAACCCGGGTCAGACGCAAACCCCTGTCGGTGCGGCTACGGTAAAGCTCCGCCTCCCACCGGCTTGGGCCAGGTGGGCTCCGTGGGAGGGAAGAGGCCTTCAGCATCTCTTTAGGGTGTCTTGGCTGCAGGCCTTGCGCAGTGGGCAGGACTCCTTGAAGGAAATCAGTATCATTTACGGATAAGCTGAAACGGAGAGAGAGAAGGACTGGAGAATCCCTTTAAGAGCAAAAGTGCCCGAGCGGCGCTGCTTGCTTAGTCCCCAGGCAACTCAAGAGAAAAGAGCGGGTTCATCCCACAAGCAATTCTCTTCGCTTTGAAAATTGAGTCCGTGATTCCAGAATATGCTCTGTGCTTGCGCACAGACAGAACACCTGCTCAGGCATGTCTGAAAAAGGAACTTTGATTTGAGAAATGCGAATGATTAGTGGGAAGGGCCAGCTGCTGCAGAGGACAGCCCCTCCCGAGGCAAGCTGCTCACAGGGCGACTCCGAGAGCTTGGCTGGGCAAAGAGCAACGGATGGACCCCAAATGCAAGTACTTTTCTCAGTTCTCAGGTAAACTGAGGTCTAAAAGGCGACTTACAGTTATCCTATCAAGCCAGTGTAAGTCCGGGGAGAGGAAATCCCTAGGCAAACTACCTCTAAAAACCGAAATCAGTCAAAGGGAGAAATAAAGTTTAAAACCCGTTTATTGTTTACAAACTGCAGTCCAGGTCCTTCTCTCTTTCTTGCTCCGGCAGAAGCAAAACCGGCCCTCCCCTCCCCTCTCGGGTACAGGTAAGCCCTCCTTGCCCAGGTAGTTACCCACTGATATGAAGATGAACTTCTCTCCACCCCTGAGGAATGATGCAAATGCACTGAAGCCGTACTAATTTTCATCTCTGAACGCCTATTGATATGCAGATATATTAAAGCCAGGCGAGATATTCTGGATATACTATACTTTTACCCACAGCCAGTTAAGAGGGACTTGGATCTCCATAAAACAAAAACAGGATGCTAGTGGAGTTGACTGAGGGTGGGATTTGGAATTCTAAGCAGTCTGGCAGCCGCTGGAGTGCAGCTTTCCCATGACACATAACTCTTCAGACTCTGGAGTAACAGCAGCTTTGGGCTGGTCGCTGTCAATACAGTCCTTAGTTGGCTGTGGTGTTCAATTACCGCAGATAACTGCTTTTTTTAAAAATTATAGTGAAAACGTAATATAAAAGTTTATTGATCTTGTAGCACGTGACAGGATTTTCTTCTTCTTTAAGAGTGAGTGACTGATGTACCACTGTGTGTGTATACCGTATACCACATTTTGTTTACCCATCAGTGACACTTCACTTCTCCCCTTCCTGGCTACTGTGAATAATGTTGCTTTGAACCTACATATGCAAACAGCTCTTCAAGACCCTGTTTTCAGTTTTGGTGGGATATATATATACACACATACATATATACACGCACACACCCAGGACTGAGATTGCTGGATCATAGTAGTTCTATTTTTAATTTTTTGAGGGACTTCCATTCCAGATGTTGTTATTAGAATTACAATTACTGATAGTTTAATACAATCCTTAGTTATTGTAGGCTGTTTGGTTAATTCTAAAGTAGGCAGTAACCCCTATTTGTATGAACAGTATTTAACTTACAGCATCCTAAAAGGAACATTTAAACATTATGTATTGTGGTTCAAACGTAAATCAACTATAGATCTAAAATGAAACAAATCTTAGAAGAAAACATAGGGCAAAAGCTTCATGCCATTGGATTTGACAATGATTTTTTTGAATATAACATTAAAAGGTACAGACAAAAAATAAATTGGATTTCATGGGAACTTAAAATTTCTGCCTCAAAAGTCACCATCAACAGAGTAAAAATCTACAGAACAGGAGAAAAATTGGCAAATCATATCTGACAAGGGATTAATGTCCAGAATATATTGAGAACTATTAAAATTCAACAAAAAGCACCTAATTTAAAGCAAAAGACTTGAACAGACAGTGCAGCAAAGAAGATACACAAATGGCCAATAAACACATGAAAAAATGTTCACCATCACTAATCACTAGGGAAATGCATATCACACCTGCTATGAGATACCACCTCACACCCAATAGGATGGTTACTATAAGAAAAGAAAAAAGACAAGTGTTGGCAAGGATGTCAAATAATTGGATCCCTTGTGAATTGTTGGTAGGAATGTAAAGTGATACAGCTGCTGTGGAAAATAGTATAGCAATTGCTCAAAAAATTAAAAATAGAATTATATGACCCAACAATTCCACTTCTGAGTATACATCCAAAATAATTAAAAGCAGGGTCAGGAAGAGATATTTGTATATCCAGGTTCATAGCAGCATTATTCACAATTACTAAAACATGGAAGCAACCCCAGTGTACATTTATGGATGAATGGATAAAATGTGGTATGTGCATACAATGGACTAGTGTTCAGCTTTTAAAAGGAAGGAAATTCTGCAGTATGCTAATAACATGTGTGAACCTGGAGGACATTATGCTAAGTGAAATAAGCCAATCACAGAAGGACAAATAGTGTATGATTCTACATATGAAGTATTTGAGTAGTCAAAATCAGAGAGATAGAAGGAATAGTGGTTGCCAGGGATTGGGGTAAAGGGATGAGGAATCAGTTGTTAACGGGTGTAGAGTTATAGTTTTACAAGATAAAGAATTCTGGACATGGGTCATAGCAGTGGCTATACAACATTAAGAATATATTGAAAAGGACACCATCAACAGAACGAAAAGGCATCCTACAGTATGGGAGAATATATTTGTAAATGACATATCCAACAAGGGGTTAACACCCAAAATATATAAAGAACTCACATGCCTCAACAACCAAAAAGCAAATAATTCGATTAACAAATGGGCAGAGGATATGAAGAGACAGTTCTCCAAAGAAGAAATTCAGATGGGCAACATGAAAAGATGCTCCACATCACTAATCATCAGGGAAATGCAAATTAAAACCACAATGAGATATCACCAAATACCAGTAAGGATGGCCAGCATCAAAAAGACTAAGAACAACAAATGCTGGCAAGGATGCAGAGAAAGGGGAACCCTCCTACACTGCTGGTGGGAATGTAAGCTAGTTCAACCATTGTGGAAAGCAGTATGGAGGTTCCTCAAAAAACTCAAAATAGAAATACGATTTGACCTGGGAATCCCACTCCTCGGAATTTACCCAAAGAATACAACTTCTCAGATTCAAAAAGACATATGCACCCCTATGTTTATTGCCGCACTTTTCACAATAGCCAAGATATGGAAGCAACCTAAGTGTCCATCAGTAGATGAATGGATAAAGAAGGTGTGGTACATATACACAATGGAATATTATTCAGCCATAAAAAAGAAACAAATGCTACCATTTGCAACAACACGGATGGAGCTGCAGGACATTATGCTCAGTGAAATAAGCCAGGTGGAGAAAGACAAGTGCCAAATGATTTTCCTCCTTTGTGGAATATAACAATGAAGCAAAACTGAAAGAATAAAATAGCAGCAGACTCAGAGGCTCCAAGAAGGAATTAGTGGTCACCAGAGGAGAGGGGTGTGGGTGAGCTGGTGGGGAAGGAGGGAGAAGGGGATTGAGGGGGTGTTATGTTTAGTACACATGGTGTTGGGGATCACGGGGAGAACAGTGCAGCGCAGAGAAGGCACATAGTGGATCTGTGGCATCTTGCTGCGCTGATGGACAGTGACTGCACTGGGATGTGGGGGGGACTTGATAATATGGGTGAATGTAGTAACCACATTGTTTTTTCATGTGAATCCTTCATAAGAGTGTATATCAATAATACCTTAATAAAAAATTTTAAAATATATATATATATTGAATGCCATTTCCCACAATAAAATTTTCTAAAAATATAAATCAACTATATTCCTATCACAAAGGTTCACATAAACATTCCAAGTTTGTTTGAGGTCACTATCAAGTTCATTAGATTAATAAATTCTTTTTTTTGTAAATATATGTGAGTGGAACACATTTCGACACCAACATTTAACTTATGCACTGACAATATAAAGGACATTTTCATAGAAAAGACCGTTATTTTTCAAGCTTATGTTTTTCGCATCGGAGTCCACTCGTCTCCAAAGGATTCAAACCTTTATTCTCAATGTCTGTGATGTTTTTTTTTTTTCCTTTAAAAGAGTTCCTTACATTTCTCAGATTTATGAAACATTACTTAAGTCTGCTTTGGGCAGAAGAATATTTAGTTGCAAGCTGGAGCTTTTTTTTTTTTTTTAAGGACTTTGAGGAAATTAGCCAGGAGGTCCTGAGGCAAGGCCACATTCATCTCCTGCAGGGAACTTGACCATTGACCAGTGCGACGTCATGCCCAGGGGGCACCTGAGTCGCACGTTCCACACCCCTTTGGAATTGTCCCACACTCTTAGGGAAGAAAGCAAATGCTACAACTAGAGAAATAGTGAACTAGCTTTTATGGCCTCTGAAGAGACCGTCTCCTGCCCTTCAGCCCTCTCTAAAAGGGCTCCTCACGAAGGGAGGAGGGCAGCCATCCCATCGTGCAGCCACGGGCTTGGCCAGGCCTGTTGTGCTTCAAAGGTCAATGTCCACAGGAA